AATCTCCAGCAAAGGATAATGAAAAATGAACAAAAAATTCAGACAATAGAGGAGAACTCAGAAGGAGTAGCAGAAAGAATAGAGGAGATGAATCAACAAATGACACAAGTAGATAAAGCTATAGAAGAGATAGTAAAAATTCTTGAAATGGAGCAGGTAGATGATTTCTCAAGAGGCCAAAATGTAGAAGAGAGCAAAGAGAAAGATCCCTTAGAAGGGATGAAAGAGTTATTGATGGGCATCTTAGAGAGTAGACAACAAGAGGCAGATGTGGAGGCAAAGGAAATACCTAGACTAAACATGAGTGATGTAGAGGGATACAAGATCCCAAGGGAGGAACATGAGAGATTGATCAAAAAGTCAATAAGAGTTGAAATACTAAAAAGGGCAAGAGATGATGGATAGATACAGAATACCTCTTAATATGGGATTTGTTTTACAAAAGATTAGAAAATAGAGCTAGAAACTGGAAATTGGGGAAATGTTATTATGCATACTGTCACATGATATAAGTTACTATAACTACTATCAGAGATGGTATTCAGCCGGTTCGGACCGGTTCACCCAAACCGGTAGTGGAAATCGCGGCCACGCCCACCCACCTGCCCTGGCTCTATGCCATTCTATTTAGGCATGTTTTTGAGGCTGGGCGCATGCACGGAAGGTGTGTGCACCAGCAAAGCACATGTGTGGAAGGCAGGGGTGGGTTCTAAATTTTTTTACTACCGGTTCTGTGGGCATGGCTTATTTTGTGGGCATGGTTTGATGGTCATGTGACAATTCCTTAGGATTTAGCAGAGGTACTGGTCTACCAGGCTTTTTAACTGCTTTCAGAGCCATACCGGTCTACCTATTTGTTTTTGGAGCACACTGGTCTACCACCACACTGCCTTTTACCGCTGATCAGCTGTAGGGCGGCCCTTTGAAGTGCTGCGCCAAGAGTTTAAACAGTTTTTTTCCTTCTAGCCGATCAGCTGGGACTCGGGAGGCAGCAAATAGATTGGGGGCGGGGCCAGGCAAAGGTGGTATTTACCGGTTCTCTGAACTACTCAAAATTTCCACTACCGGTTCGCAAGAACCGGGGAGAACTGGTAGCAACCCACCACTGGTGAAGGCCAGGCGCATGCATGGACGGTGTGCATGCGAGCGAAGAGAGCGTGCACACTCACATTTGCGAACTGGTAGGGAAAGTTAGTGAATACCACCCCTGACTACTATGTACATGTAAATGTTAGAAGTTGAAAGACTACTACCATGTATGTTAAATAGTAAAGGGTAAGAAATGATGGATAGATACATAATTTTTTTTTTAATATGGGAACTGTTGTACTACAGGTTAGAAAAAAGAGGTAGAAATTGGGAAAACATTACTATGTACACTGCTACAAAATATAATACATTATAACAACAATGTATATGTACATCTTAGAAGTTGAAAGATTATTATTATTATGTATATCTAAACAGTATTATTACTGTTACTAGTACTCGGTATAAAGTAAATTGACCCAGGCAATGTCTTGTTCACTAAATACTCATATATGTTAAAGAAAAAAAACCATAAATAAAATTATATATAAAAATGCCCATTGAATTCATTGAGGGAATTTTAAAAGGGCTGCGAAGAGACTGTTGCTCTTTAAAGTATAATATAAGCTCTCCCACGGCAAGTTTGCTGGAAAAGGAATTGGTGGTTTTGCTCTAGGCAGTCTTTCTATGAGTTATAGCATTGCATTTAGTGTGGCTCTTGAGTTTCATTGATCATAAGCGGCATTATCTGCTCTGGAAAACTCGGAACATTTTTTTCTTTCTTCTGTGCCTGAACTTCAGTGCGCATAATTTTGGGTAGACGTGCAGAGGAGCTGTGAATATATTTGGAGTTTATAGATATGAGAAGAGTTGCTTGGTTGATTTTCTAAAACGCAAGCATTCCATTGCTTTGGGCTTATTTCTTTGTGCAAACCTGAGGATGTTGCGATGCGTTGAAAGCCAGCGCTATCTTCCTTTCAAGGTTTTCTTTTAAAATGCACGATTTGTTCTAAACAAATTAGAACCTTATCTTTTTTTTGTTTGTTTGTTTGTTAAACATCTTTAGAAAAGCAGAAAAGGCATACAGAAACAATCTCTTTTCTGGATCTAGAGACAGCTAGGAGGAACTCATTCAAAATATTTAACAGAATAACAGAGTTGGAAGGGACCTTGGAGGTCTTTTAGTCCAATCCCCTGCACAAACAGGAGACCCTCTACCATTCCAGACAAAAGGCTGTCAGTGTTGTAACCGAGGCCCAAGTAGTGATTACCAAACACAATTCAGTCCTGAACAAACTTAGTTTATTAAAACAGCTGAGAATTAATTCATTCTCAGCTTAGTCCAAAACAAAATTCTTCATAACCAATCCTTTGGCCTTATCACCAACCTTTGATGTCTTTGGCAACCTGCCAAAGGCTTTTCTTGGCAAAAACCCCACAAAGTTCAAGAGATGCTGACAAGAAGCACAGGAATCAATGTTGCTTTTCTACAAAGAACCCAACGGCTCGTTGCTGCTCTTTTAAGCCTTATGGGAATGGCCAATCATCTTCTGGCCTTACTCCTGAGTCGTCCTTTTTGCTTCAGCTGCTCTTGCCTTCTGGCAGCTCTTCGCATGCATGCACTAGGAACAGGCTCCTCCTGTTCCTCTGCCTCTCTGCTGTCCACTTCTGGAGGCTCCAGAGTCCGTGCATCGCTCCCAGATGGCCCTGGCCCCATCTCTGCCTCCGACACAGAGCCCTCATCCGGGCCTTCCCCTGACTCCAGGACTGGCCCATTGTCCTCCCCAGCCTCCTCGCTGTCCGACCCAACTGCCAGGTCCGCAGGCTGCTGGCAGACCACAACAGTCAGATTCCTGCAAGCTTTCTTCATATGTTTTAGCCTGCAGCCCCCTAATCATCTTAATTGCCCTTCTCTGCACTCTTTCCAGAATCTCTACATCTTTTTTTATAATATGGTGACCAAAACTGGACTCAGTATTTTAAGTGTGGCTTTACTAAGGCTTTATAAAGTGGTACTAATACTTCATGTGATCTGAATTCTATGTAAGATTGTGTTGGCCCACACTGCTGGCTCATATTGAAGTGATTGTCCACTAGGACTCCATGATCCCTCTCACAGTTACCACTACTTTAGCCAGGTTTCACCTAATCTGTACCTGGTTTGTCTTGCCTAGACGTAAAACCTTACTTTTACTCTACTCTGAATTTCATTTTGTTAGATAGGGCCCAGTGTTCAAGTTTGTTCAAATCCATTTGGATCTTGAGCCCATTTTCTGGGCGTTTGCCTCTTCCTGCCACTTTAGTGTCATCTGCAAATTTAATGAATCCTCCTTGCATTGTGTCATCGTTTGGCTAACTCCTGGACCAATACGCATGCAGATGCAGTAAGGGTAAGATTATACTACCTGAGACTTCTCAGGAAACAACAACTGAATGAAAATCTGCTGGTGAGCTTCTACCGCTGCACCATAGAGAGTATCTTAACTTACTGCACCTGTGTATGGTTTGCCAATTGCCCAGTGGCAGATAGGACAGCACTCCAGAGGTTTAACGTCATTGCCCAGAGGATCATTAGTTACCTTCTCCCCTCTTTGGAAGATCTCTATAGCTCCCGCTGCCTTAAGAAAGTTCAAAACATTCTTAAGGATCCATCTCATCCTGGGCACTCTTTTTTTTTGAACTATTACCATCTGGCAGACGGTACAGGACGATAAAAACAAGGACAAATAGACTGAAAAACAGCTTCTATCCCAGGGCAGTAACTATATTGAATTCTACTGTATAATGCAATATTAATGCAATATCAGGGGGTTTTCAATTTAATTGTATAGAATGCGAAGGATGTGTGTTTGTGTTTTATTTTTATAGTTATAATGTACACTGAAGATGGCATTTAATTTCATTGTACGAGGTGCAGTGACAATAAAGTAAAGTAAAGTAAAGTAAAGTAAAGTAAAGTAAAGTAAAGTAAAGTAAACTAAACTAAACTAAACTAAACTAAACTAAACTAAACTAACGATGTCAAAGGAGAAAGAAATTGCAGCAGCTCTTCTAATACAAGGTTGATATGAGGATATTCACCCAGTAGCCTTTCTAACTGTTCAATTTCAGAAACGGCTTTTGCGTTCATACTTGCTAAAAACAACAACCCTGAACTCTAAAAACTGTACATATTTTGTGGAATCTTTCTCTGGAGCCACACAAGGTTTGAAAGATAATACGACTGATTTCCACTCTAGAATGTGCACTCATTTTGCATAGGGTCTTGACTAGATCTGTTGCATTTAAGTATCAACTCTCAGAAAAATGAAAACGTCTCCGGAAAGTCATGCATTCCGGATATGGATCTGGGGTAGTCAGTTTGCTATAAATGATGTAAGCTTCAGGTTGAGGATCCAAAATAAGATTGGGCAAATTTTAAAATATTTAACGTACAGCCTATTAAAGTTTCAAAAGAGCTCAGATATTATATGTAACAAAAGCAGACAAATGACTCTCCCCCCCCTTATGCTTCTTGATCAGGATGGGGTATTGGTTTCTTCAGGTTGAGGATCCAAAATAAGATTGGGCAAATTTTAAAATATTTAGCGTTCAGCTAAATTAAAGTTAGAAAAGAGTCCCATCAGCTATTATATGTAACAAAAGCAAACAATTGACTTTCTTTTTCCCCCACCCCCCACTTATGCTGATTGACCAGGATGGGGTGTTGGTTTCTAATTCTTTGCCTTCCTTGACAATACTAATATAAGCTCTTATGGTGTTTACTTATGGGAAAGGGATACGTATTTTAAGATAAAAGAAAGCCATCTGTAACTGCAATTGTTCCTGTTCCATCAAAAAAAGCAAGGGACACCGAAACTAATCTCACATTTTTCTTGTTTCTTGAATGTGGGTATAGGAAAGCGTAGTTTATGTTTTATTCTTTGTTATGATTTTGGCTTATATTAATCCCAATGTATTTTCTTGCTCAGACACGATCCTTTATTAATTCCTGGCAACGAACAAGTTGACAACATGGATTGCAACGTGAAAAAATATGACTCCACAGGAATGTTTCATTGGTGTCCACCAAAGGAGATTGACAAGGTTATTTTGGTGAGTATTTGAAGAAAAGGAAGCATTGCAATTTCAAGAGCTGTGGTGGCGCAGTGGTTGGAATGCAGTATTGCAGGCTAATTGTGCTCGCTGCCAGGAATTAGATTCTGACTCTGAAGTACTGGTTGTCCTAAAGTTAATGTATTTACATTAAAACCCTTCTTCAAGTTGGAATTATTTTTACCCTTGCATAGTTACCTTTACATAAACACAACCTCTACTGTATCGTTCTTTTGTAATGAGCTTTCTATCCTGTTACAAGTAGAATAGAATAGAATAGAATAGAATAGAATAGAATAGAATTTTTTTTTTATTATTATTATTATTATTATTATTATTATTATTATTATTATTATTAGTTAATCTTTGGTGAGATACACAGCCTTTGAGGCTGGTTAATAACTCAGCAGCTCGAGTCCTAACCAAGGACCTAGGAACTGTTTAAGGTATCGTCGGAGGATGTAAGCTGTTCCGAGTAAAGTGGTTTTTTGTAGAATTACAAAGTAATTCTTATTTACAAAGTAAATTATTATTATTATTATTATTATTATTATTATTATTATTAGTATTAATTATTATTAGTATTATTATTAGCCAAGTATGATTGGACACACAAGGAATTTGTCTTGGTGCATATGCTCTTGGTGCATAGTCCTCATCCTACAACTACAATTGAACCCAAAATTTATGTTGCTATTTGTGAGTCGTAGTGGTGCAGTGGTTAGAATGCAGTATTGCAGGCTAACTCTGCTCACTGCCAGGAGTTCGATCCTGATCGGCTCAAGGTTGACTCAGCCTTCCATCCTTCCGAGCTCGGTTAAATGGGGACCCACATTGTTGGGGCAACAGGCTGACTCTGTAAACCGCTTAGAGAGGGTTGTAAAGGACTATGAAGCGGTATATAAGTCTAGGTGTTATTGCTATATTGTATATAATCAGATTGAATTATATTGAATTTCCTCCAGACTGTTTTGTGTTTCTGGCCTTGCCCAGGACTACTTCAGCGTGCTAAGAATCCACACCAATGAGAAATCTGTGGACTATTACATTTTCTGTGACTTTCTGGTCATTTTCACAATCGTTGATGGTCTGAATGGGTTTGAGGCTCATTAAAGGTCTACTCTCCTTTATTTAGTGTCAACAATAGAGCTGTGTGGATGGTCGTTTCAGAAATTCAGTGATAATTTGACTGACTCGTTGAGCTAACTCTCCGAATCAGAGTTGACAGGTGATTTGAACTAGCTAATCTGATGCCACTGGGTTGAATTCAGACTCCTTTTTTTGTTTTGTTTTTTGCAAAAGCATAAAAACAGATTTTTGACAATTGAATTAAACCAATAGGACAGTGGACAAGCCCACGCATATTCCACGTGTCTTTTCAGAAACCACATTCTACATTAGCATGATTTTCGTGGTTATCCTTTCGCCCTGGAAGAATCAGAGCTGATTTTCAGTTTCTGCTTTCAGGTTTAACAGGGGGGAAAAACTGTTAAGTACAGTACAGTAAGTAACTGTAGAACGTAGAACATACATCAAAGGGCTGAAAAGGACCTCAGACGTCTTCTAGTCCAACCTTGGTCCTGTTCTGTCCCCATCCCACATGCACACACACCAACAGGAAATGGATTTTGTCGGCTGGTTTAGTCTGTAACTCTTGAAGAGTTAAAGACTAAACCAGCCGACAAAATCCTTTTCCTTATGATAACGGAACTTGGCAACAACCTAGTGGCTGCCTGCCAAGAGTTTATTACTTACAAAGAGGAGAGATAACTTCTCCCCGCTTCTGGTACATCAAAAGAAACAGCTCAATAATTACAGAGTCAATCAAGTCCAAAGATATCCAGCAAAGTCTATAGCAAAAGTCCGGCAATGCAGAATGGCGTGGAAGCTTTCAGCTTTGTTCATCACAAGGCTTGACTGGCCACCACGCTCCCTTTTATACCTTGTGGGGTGTGGTCCAGTGACTCAGCCTAATCTCGGGCACGCCTTTTCTTCTGTTGCGCGCGCTTATCTCTGCGATGCTGGCGTGGATCCAGCCAAGACTCATTACTCTCATCACTGTCCACCTGTGGCTTGGCCCCGGCCCTATCTCTTGCCCTTTGGTGGACACCGAAGGCATTGCCAAAGAGGAGGGTCCTGGAGAGGGAGGCCTTGCCAACTCCTCTCCTTCACTCTCGGAGTCCTCTCCTGCCGATGACACAGGCTCAGGTAACGGAGCCACAACAGGTCCAAGACAGAAGATCTCCATTCCTCTTCTTTGCACACTCTAAGGCTGTGATGGCGAACCTATGGCACGCATGCCACAAGTGGCACGCGGAGCCATATCAGTGGCCATGCGAGTTCAGCTCTGGCGTGCATTCGCGCGCCGGCCAGCTGATTTTCAGGCCTTTTGAGCCCACCAGAAGTCAGGAAAAAGGCTGTTTCCAGCCTCCGGAGGGCCTCCGGGGGAGTGGGAAAGGCCATTTTCACCCTCTCCAGTCTCCTAGAAAGGCTCTGGAGCCTGGGGAGAGCGAAAAATGGACCTACCTTGCCATCACATGCCAAAAGTGGGGGTCGCGCGGGTGGGGTCGCACATGCATGCATTGGGGGCAGGGTGCATAGAATTATAGGTGTGGGCATGCGTGCGAGCGACCCTCCCCACACACACACTTCCCCCACTTTTGGCACGCGATGGCAAAAAGGTTAGCCATCACTGCTCTAAGGTCTCGGCATCTTTTTTGTATTATGGTGACCAGAATTGTGGCCACACAAGCGCACAGTATCACACAACTATATCCCAACTAATTAACCCTCAAGTGCCAAGCTGATAATTAGAAACTATTCAATGGAGCCGTTTGGTTTCTTGATTAATGCATACACCCCCGATCATTTGTCATAGGAAAAAATTCACGGGATCATTAAATTCTCCATATATGTCACTTGCAATTAATGCTCTATAATGACGCTATCAGTCTGATGGAGCCGCTTTCAAATCATTAAAACCCCACTCGACACAAGCATTTAAAATGTGATATATGAGTTATTGGATACCTTTGATCAATATTGTACCTTTGATTACCGTCATCCAAAGTCGTATGTTGTCAGCAGAGATATGTACGCACCTGCTTCGTGCTACCGTTTATCTACATGGCAATTAATTATTCAAGGATGTATAAAGGTACAGCACTGAAGTATTTAATCAGAGATATCCACAGGGAGAGGATCATAAATTCAACATAGTAGCCACAAGTAGGCAATCAAAATCTTCTTTATATGGATCAGGTCCAGGGGTGAAATGCTTCCGGTTCGGACTGGATCGCCCGATCCAGTAGTGATGGCGGCAGGTGGTTCGGAGAATCAGTAGCAAAAATCTCTGCGCCCCCCATGCCCAGCTGAGTCGTGCAATCATCAGAGGCTGTTCTTTTTACCTTTAAAAACATTTTTTCTACAACCTCTTTGGCCGAAAAAATGCTTTTAAAAGTTAAAAAAAAAGCTTCTGATGATTGCACGGCTCAGCTGGGATCGTCAGAGGCTTTTAAAAGCATTTTTTTCTATAACTTCTTCGGCTGAAGAGTTTCTAGAAAAAAATGTTTTTAAAAGCCTCTGATGATCCCAGGTGAATTGCCTGATCATGCTTTTAAAAGCATTTTTTTCTGCATTCTCTTCTTACTTTTTTTAAAAGTAAAAAAAAAAAGTTGGCCACGCCCACCCAGTCACATTACACCACCACCACCAAGCCACACCCAGAGAACAGGTAGTAACAAATTTTACATTTCACCACTAATCAGGACATAAAAATGTAGGAAACCTAGAAGTAGCAGCTGATAGCAGTAGCAATAGCACTTATATACTACTTCACAGTGCTTTACAGCCTTCTCTAAGTGGTTTAGAGAAAGAACCACTTTCTCTAAGTGGTTCTCTAAGTGGTTTACAGAGTTGGCCTATTGCCTCAGTGGTGAAATTCAATTTTTTTTACTACCGGTTCTGTGGGTGTGGCTTGGTGGGCATAGCAGGGGAAGGATGCTGCAAAATCCCCATTCCCACCCCACTCCTGGGGGAAGGATATTGCAAAAGCTCCATTCCCACCCCACTCTGGGGCCTGGCAGAGGTGGTATTTGCCGGTTCTAAAACTACTCAAAATTTCCACTACCGGTTCTCCAGAACCTGCTGGATTTCACCCCTGTCTTGCCCCAACAATCTAGGTTCTCATTTTACCGACCTCGGAAGGATGAAAGGCTGAGTCAATCTTGAGCCGGTCAGGATCGAACTGCTGGCAGTGAGCAGTGAGTTAGCCTGCAGTACTGCATTCTAACCACTGCGCCACCACGGCTTGACATTTATTCATTGCGTAGAACTTCAAGGCTTAAATATACATAATCGAAGTCTAACAAATATATACATGATTATTTAAGATACAATCGAATATCTCTGGGTCTCGTTGTCTCAAAACCCTTGGGGGGGGGGGAATAAGATGCACCTCCTCCCTCCAAGTCTTCTTTAAATAGCTATTCTCCTGTAACAAATATTATCAAATATCATCATGAGAAAGAAAGAAAACGTATTCAGGTCCTCTTTTCCAAAATGGCGTTTATGATTTTCCAAAGTCTGTAACTTTGTAGCCAAAAATGTTCATCAGAACAAAAAATAATGTTTATAGTATCTGTGTGTGTGTACATGTATTCTTTCTTTCTTTCTTTCTTTCTTTCTTTCTTTCTTTCTTTCTTTCTTTCTTTCTTTCTTTCTTTCTTTCTTTCTTTCTTTCTTTTCTTCCCTCCTTCCTCCCTTTTTTCTTTCTTTCCTTCCTTCCTTCCTTCCTTCCTTCCTTCCTTCCTTCCTTCCTTCCCTCCCTCCCTCCCTCCCTCCCTCCCTCCCTCCCTCCCTCCCTTCTTTCTTTCTTTCTTTCTTTTTCTTTCTTTCTTTCTTTCTTTCTTTCTTTCTTTCTTTCTTTCTTTCTTTTATGAGTTCTTTGGAACCATCAGATGGTTCCTTGTAGTTTCAGTAAAGCAGTCTGATCTCAAGATTCAAAATAACAGAGTTGGAAGGGACTTTAAAGGTCTTCTAGTCCAACCCCTTGCTCAAGCAGGAAACCATCTAACCATTCCAGACAAATGGTTGTCCAGTCTCTTTTTAATAGCCTCCAGTGATGGAGCACCCACAATTTCTGGAGGAAATTTTCTCCTTAGTTCCAGGTTGCTTCTCTCCTTGATTAGTTTCCTTCCGCTGCTTCTTGTCCTGCCTTCAGGTGCTTTGGAGAACAGGCTGACCTCCTTCTTCTTTCTACACAACGACAGAATAAAAAACCATCATTGTTTAAGGAAATCTTTTCATTAACGTTCATAATGGGGGATTACGGGAGCGACGGGGCGCTCACATATGACACCTCTCCTGCGTGAGCTGCACTGGCTTCCTGTGGTCTTCCGGGTGCGCTTCAAGGTGTTGGTGACCACCTTTAAAGCGCTCCATGGCTTAGGGCCGGGGTATCTGTGAGACCACCTTCTGCCGCCAATAGCCTCCCACCGACCGGTTCGCTCGCACAGAGAGGGCCTCCTCAGGGCGCCGTCGGCCAGACAGTGCCAGCTGGTGACCCCCAGGGGGAGAGCCTTCTCTGTGGCAGCACCTGCCCTCTGGAACAACCTCCCCCAGAGATACGTACAATACCAGACCTCCGGACTTTTCGTCGGGCCCTGAAAACTTATTTATTTCACTTAGCCGGGCTGGCTTGATCCCATCCTCTCAGTTTTAATTGAATTCAGTTTTAATTGGGTTGTTTTAAATTTTGGGCCGAAATTATTTAATTGTTTTTTAAACTGGTTTTAAATTTTATATGCTATGTTTTATCTCGGCTGTACACCGCCCTGAGTCCCGCAGGAGAAGGGCGGTATAGAAATAAAATAAAATAAAATAAATAAATAAATAAATATGACTATTAACGTGCGGCATCTATTTTATAAGGTTGTGTGGAAAGCTGAAATCCCCCCCCAATTTGTGTATCTTTCTCCCTGCACTTGTCCTTACATTCATTCATTTCTGCTAAAAAAAAAAAACCCAACCCTTCATTTTCCCCACCTTTTTCAAGGCAAATCTAAGTAGCGGGTAGAGAATGTGCTGCTTCAAGAAACGGCATTTGTCCTCTTGTGTCATTTTAATGTGCTGTACGGTAGGGATGTTTCTCCCTCTTTTTGCCTTCATTATCCAGTGATTGAGAGCTATGTTTATTTCGCATTTATCCAGAGGTGCCATCCAGTGTGGCGTTTCTCCGAGGTCACCTCCTATCAGCTAGGATGTGTAAAGATTCTGCTTAGGATCCCCTGGATTTCGGGTTGGGGACAGCCATCAAACCGACTTGATTCATCTAATCTAATTACCCCATTACGTCTTACTCCGTTAGATTTGGTGAACATTTGCGCCACTTATGTCCCTCTGCCTGTGCGTCGCACCACCAACTCTTACACGTCGCAACTAACCCTGCGGCTGCGTGACACCGAATCCTGCTGGATTTTCCCTTTATTTAGTGGGGGTAGATTTTGATTTTCTGAGATTTCCCTGGACCGCTGAGTAACACAACCAATAATAGTGACAGCTCTGGTTTAGTCTAACGATCATATGGCAGAACCTTGTTCCTCCCCGTTCTCGGGGGAGTTTGTATAATAACCATGACATTGTCTGGAATTGCAGTATTGGCATTTGAGCGATCAATAAACCAGCCAGTTCCACTGAGTAAACTGTTAAGAATTGGATTCAAAAATGGCTCAAATTGATATGCATGCCACAGTGTTCATTAGACCACCAGGGACAAGTCCTCCATACGTTGTTAAATAACTGAGGGCGACAGATGTCAGCTAGAATATTTTAAGTATATTTTAAACAGAGAGGACGCTTAATGACCTTAATGTTCCACTTCACGAAGTTTGCATGGTTAAAAAAAAATGACATTAGAAGTTCCCTTCATGTCTGGTTTTGAGTGAAGATCCATTTACTAGATTTGCCACTGTGTGTATATATATATATAGTGTTATATATATAGTATATATATTTAGTTCTCTAAGGGTTTTAATTGGATTATTTTAATTAACTTAAATTAACTTATTAACTTATTGTTCTGTGGTTTTTATCTTTGTGAGCTGCTCCGAGTCCTTCGGGAGAAGGGCGGCATATAAATATGATTAAATAAATAAATAAATAAATATGTATATGTATGCTTATGTATATTTGTATACATGTACATATACATATATATAGAGAGTGAGAGGGAGGGAAGGAAGGAAGGAAAGAAAAGGAAGGAGGAAGAAAGGAAGGGGGAGGCAGAGAGGGAGGGAGGGAGGACTTCATAGCAACATATGCAAACTGCACTTGAAATAGTCACATTTTTAAACATTTCAATGAACAACCTGCCTCCTTAAGGCGATTTTGCAACACCAGGCCTGCAAATCGCAAATGATAGCTGTTGAATCCTATCAGCTTCATCTCTCTTGAAACGATAAGCAGTGGCTCTCAGCTTTAATTGTATTCATTTAATCTCATGGTAGGAGCACAGTGGCTCGAGCGGCTGGAACGCTGGGCAGGAAGTTAGCAAGCCCACGTTTGAGACCCAGAGCTATGAGATTGAGTTCTCGTCCTCCTCTCCAGCTCCTGCAGGGGTCATGAAAGGAACCCTCAAGTGGGCGTCCCCCAAACAATGGTGATGTTGCTGGCTAATCCTTTCAACCTGGAAGTGTCTTGGTGCTAATAATAATAATAATAATAATAATAATAATAATAATAATAATAATAATAATAACAATAATAATAATAATAAAGATAGATAGATAGATAGATAGATAGATAGATAGATAGATAGATAGATAGATAGATAGATAGATAGATAAAAATAACAAAATATTGTGACCTGGCCATCGAAACTACGCGATTATGGATGACACATGTAACCGTGATACCCATTGTCATCGGAGCACTTGGTACCATGTCCAAGAATTTTATAAGATACATCAACAAATTGCAGCTTCCTGCAACAACACCAGTGGAACTGCAAAAAACTGCACTACTTGGAACATCGTACATCTTAAGAAGGTACTTGGTTGATACCTAGGACACTGGCAGCAACCCGTATCAACCATTAGCACCAGTCAATGGTATTTGTGATGCATTTTTAAATGTTCAGTTGATTGAGTTTCATGTTTAATGAATAAAATATATTATTATTATTAGCTAATCTTTAGTGAGATTCACAGCCTTTGAGGCTGGTTAATAGCTCAGCAGCTCGAGTCCTAACCAAGGACCTAGGAACTGTTAAGGTATTATTATTATTATTATTATTATTATTATTATTATTATTATTATTATTATTATTATTATTATTATTATTATTATTATTATTATTATTATTATTCTCAGAGTCTGTTCCATTCCATAGTATTTCCAAAGGAAATTTGGATTTAGCGGATGCAAGGAGATTCAGATTTGCAAGATATTGCTAGTTCAACCGTGTAATCAGAGCATTGACGTTCATAACTTCATCGCACTTGAAGGGGTTCCAACACGCATTGACCTGAAAATAATTCCACCAGAGTTATAAGACTAATCTTACAAGATGACAGAAATGTTTCCTTTTTATCAGTGGATCTTTCTTACAAATGATACCCCCCTCCCCATCCAAATATCTCTAATCGCCAAGTTCAGCTGAGAGTGTCATTCACAGGTGTTCACAGGAGACGGCCAAAAAAAAAAAAAATTCAATATGCTTGTTATAATGGTGTGATCAAAGAGCCACTCGTTATTTATGTTCTGGCACCCCAATGTCATCCCTTCTGACCAGGGTGGGTTCCACTTACCTTTACTACCAGTTCACAGTGGGAGCGTGTGCAGAAGCGCATGCGCAGATCACCCTTGATGATGCCATGACAGGTGGGCGGAGCCTCCTGCCGGTTTTATTACCGGTTCTATAGAACCGGACTGAACCGGGAGCAACCCACCACAGCTTCTTACCCCATTCCTGGGTAGTCTGTGAATGTAATAGAGTTTATATATTTTGAAGACCTGGCTCATATCTTCTGTACCAGGATTGTCTGAACTTGGCAACTTTAAAATGTGTGGACTTCAACATGGCTGGCTGGGGAATTCTGGGAGTTGAAGTCCTCAAGTCTTAAAGCTGTCAGGTCTGGAGACCCGTGTTCTACACTAGCCATGTGGGATTCTACAGGCATTCCCCGATTTACGACTGCAAAATTGAGCCCAAAATTTCTGTTGCTGAGGTTGAGAAATTTGTTAAGTGAATTTTGCCCCACTTTACGACTTTTCTCGCCTCAGTTGTTAAGTGAATCACTGCAGTTGATAAGTGAGTCGCCCGGTTGTGAAGGGAATTGTGGCTTCCCCCGTTGGCTTGTCAGAAGGTTGCAATAGGGGATCGCACATGGCTTTGAGGCACAGCGACGGTCATAAATACGAACCGGTGGCCAAGCGTCTGAATTTTGGCCACGGGACCGTGGGAATGTTGCGACGGTCGTTAAGTGTGAAAAACAGTCCTAAGTCACTTTGTTCAGTGCCATTGTCACTTTGAATGGTCACTAAATGAACTGTTGTAAGTTGAGCACTACCTGTAGGTACATCTAGCTACCGTATTCTTTGCCTTCCAAACTCTGTTTTTTTTCTAAGCTTGGAGCATTTAATCCTCTGTTAGATATTACTGAGGTGAAAAGGTAAAAGCAATTTCCTTGTGTTCTCATGCTCTTGTATGCACAGGAGTGCTTGTTTTCCACTGATGAATCTTTCTGGCATTGAAAACTCTTCATTTCTTCTAACTCCCCCTTTCCCAATTTTGTTCTGGTTTTTCTTTTCCCCAGACCCGAAGTGAAGCTGCCATGACCGTCCTCAGCGGCCACGTGGTGGTTTGTATATTTGGAGATATGACGTCGGCGCTGATAGGACTGAGAAATTTTGTGATGCCACTCCGAGCAAGCAATTTCCACTACCACGAGCTCAAACACATCGTCTTTGTGGGCTCCCTGGAATATTTAAGGAGGGAATGGGAGACCATGCATAACTTCCCCAAGGTCTCCATTTTACCAGTAAGTCCAGGAACCTGATCCTTCCTAACTCCTTCCCTTTCATCCATCCATCCATCCATCCTCCCTCCCTCCCTCCGTTCCTACCTTCCTTCCTTCTCAAGACACTATCTTCCTCCTTCCCTCCCTCCCTCTCACTGCTTCCTTCCTGCCTCACTTCCCTCATAACTCACTGTGTCTTCATCATTCATACCTCCGCCTCTCCCTCCTTCCTTCCCTCCTTCTCATTGCTTCCTTCCTTCCTATCTCCCTTCTTTCTTCCCAAATTAGTCTTTCTTCCGTTCTCCCTCTTTCCCTTCTTCCCTCCCTCTCTTTCATTGCTTGTTTCTTCCTTCCTTCCTTCCTCTCTCCCTCCCTCCCTCCCTCTCATTGCTTTCTTCCTTCTTATTTTCTTTCTTCCCAAGACACTGTCTTCCTTCCTTCCTCCCTCCCTCTCTCCCTCCCTCTCATTGCTTCCTTCCTTCACTTCTTTCCTAACTCACCATCTGTCTCCTTTGTTCCTCTCTCCATCTCTCCCTCTTCCTCTTCTTCCCTCCCTCTCCTTCCTTCCTTCCTCTTTCATTTCCTTCCCTTCCCTTTCCCTTTCCCTTTCCCTTTCCCTTTCCCTTTCCTTTCCTTTCCTTTCCTTTCCTTTCCTTTCCTTTCCTTTCCTTTCCTTTCCTTTCCTTTCCCTTTCCTTCCCTTTCCTTTCCTTTCCCTTTCCTTCCCTTTCCTTTCCTTTCCTTTCCTTCCCTTCCCTTCCTTTCCCTTCCCTTCCCTTCCCTTCCCTTCTCTTCCTTTGATCTTGGGTTTCATTGTTTTGTTCTTGACTCATTATAAGCCTGAGGACCTGGCCTTTCCCTGTTTGTTGTAGCTATGAAAACCAAACCCTGAGAGACCTTATTAGAGGAAATTTGCCGATGTGCTCCGTCCCTTGTCAAGGATGAATTTCAGCGGCTATCAGATATGTTAGCAATGTTGCTCATTGAACACTTGCCCGAGCGCCTTGCATACAGCCAGCTTTGATGTTGTGATTTTTCTTGACAGCAGGGCAATTATTAGTCATGGCATTATTTATGCCTATGAAACCTTTGAAAACATTTTGTATTGTTTGTCTGTCTACCCGAACTCTTTGCCTTTGCCCAGATCTGTGAAAAGATTTGATCTGCTGGCTTTCTTCTACCTAATGCACCAATAGGGAGATCTCATCTCTTTCTTAAGGGAATAACAGAATGAAAGGAGATCAATTCCTTTATCTCTAAATCAGGACAGAATTGAAGAGCCCCCAATTCCTCACGATTTATGCCTCGCTGCTCACGATAATGCAAATTTCATAATAGGTTGCCTTTTACCCAAGGCCAGGAAGAAAATCACCACCAGGTGCCCATTAAATATTTTCTTTGAATACTAAGTTTGGGGGGTTTTTCCCCCTCACCCTAAAAGGGCAACTTACAAAAATAAGCAGAATAAAGGGTAAAACAAAACAAATATAATCCAAATTGAAATCTGTCATGAAATATCTGGCTGGTCTGTTTCATACAGTCTTTGAAGCTGAAGCAATCCTCTTCTTTATCCCACTTGTCATAAAACGGAGGGATGCAAAATGGGAGATAACCATCACAAATTAGGTGTGTGTGTGTGTGTGTCTTTGTCACATCAATAGGCCTGGGCTGTGTTCCTCGTAGCTCTAATTCTCTACCGAATTTGCACACCTGTCTGGAGGAAGTCATCCTGTTTGTAATGTTTAAATCATTGAGTAATTTGAGGTGTGCATTATAAACATTGTCCAACGCATATAAACACTAAGAAGGACATCATCATGTTTTGCTAGATGGTCCAATTAGTAATTTCGCTGCCAAAAAACCCCCAGTGTATATTGGTGCTCATTAATTTAGTGTCTGTTTCCTCTCCTGAATGAACTCTAACTTTCTTTAAGCAAATGTCGTGGTGGGGTTGCTTAGAAAAAGGTAAAACTTGCTACAGGTACTGTTTTGGGGGATCTCTCTTTCTATAGAGGGAGGGAGGGAGAGAGAGACAGAGAGAGACGGGGAGAGAGAGAGAGAGAGAGAGAGAGGGAGAGAGAGAGGGAGGGAGGAGAAACTCCAAGGAGGAGGAATCAAGTGCGGAACTAACCTTGAATCCTTGCTTTGCTGCAGGAGACTTAAGCCTTACCCTTCCTAAATTCCATGATATGTTATCAGTTCTCAAAGGAAGGCAAGCAGTCTGGGGAGATTCCTGTAGTGTAGGTAGAACATAATAATGTAGTCAACCTGAACCTTTCACATGAGGATCTGGGTGGTTAGGTAGGTAGGTAGGTAGGTAGGTAGGTAGGTAGGTGATAGATAGATAGATAGATAGATAGATAGATAGATAGATAGATAGATAGATAGATAGATAGATAAATAGACAGACAGACAGACAGACAGACAGACAGACAGACAAATAGATACTGTAGGTAGATAGAAAGATAAGATAGGTAGGTAGGTAAGTAGGCAGATAGGCAGACAGACGGATGACAGATTAGATAGATAGATAGATAGATAGATAGATAGATAGATAGATAGATAGATAGATAGACAGAGATAGATAGATAGATAGATAGATAGAATAGATAGATAGATAGATAGATAGATAGATAGATAGATAGATAAATACTGCAGGTAGATAGTGTTAGTTTGCTTCTATAAGGGATTCATTCTTTTCCATATCACTGGCACAAGTCCAGCATTTCCAGAAGTGGGTATCTGGACATGCCCCTCAGCCTGCTTTGAAGGACAGTTGTTGCTCCAGGAGACAAACAGACATTGAGAGGGGTTGTAAGCAGCAGGCACGATGCCGAAAGTTTCCCATCATCCCTGCTCCTTGTTTGTTAGCAATCGCTTGACTGAGTATTGAGTCTTAAGACTTAAAATGCTGCCATCAGCGCCAGCCACCCTTTCCGAGGAGTGCGTTCCCTCTATTCCCTGGCACACAAGTTAGACCCTCTTAATGTCAGAGCATTAAAAAAAAAAAAAGGATACTTGTTAAATCATTTCCCAAAGCTGCTTCTCGCTGTTTAATTTGTTTTCTTTCGTTCCCTTCCTCTTTCCTCTCTTTCTCTCTCTCTCCCCTCCCCCCTCTTTTCTCCGCTGAAGGGTACACCATTAAGCCGAGCTGATTTAAGAGCTGTCAACATCAACCTCTGTGACATGTGCGTCATCCTGTCAGCCAATCAGAATAATATTGATGACACTTCGCTGCAGGACAAGGAATGCATCTTGGCGTCACTCAACATCAAATCTATGCAGTTTGATGACAGCATTGGGGTCTTGCAGGCTAATTCCCAAGGTAAGGACTGCCCTATAATACTTCTCCTCCACGGTGCCTTAAGGGGACAGGAAATGGCAGGAAGAATATCTCTCACTCAGTAATTCAAAGGGACCTTCCATCAGCTTGCTTGACGGTTAAACCTGCTGATTGGGAAGATGGGGCTTTGGTGTAGCACACGGAGGAACAAAAGCTAATCTGGGGCGCCAGAAAACCGAGGTCGATTGGGGAGAGAATCTCACTGCGTTTCACCTCCTTGCTCCCATCCGTAGAATTCTCGCCGCGGATAACGATAAAGTTGTTTGGTTACGCTTTGCATTGCCAGAGGTCGCGTCGCTTCGTGCTTGGATGCAAAAGAGGATGTTTTGAGAAGCATCTTTGCTTTGTCCACAAGATTATATCAATGGGAATGTCATACAATGCCGAAGCAACACCTTTCAGGGCAGAGAAAAGTGGGGGAGGGGATAATAATAGTAAGGGGAAGATTTTGTGAAGATCTGTTTAACCTTTGCACAAAAATCCTTATGGCGTTGGTCGACATCCCTCCAATTTCAAAAGCGCCTAAGAGCGCCTCTTTCTGACCGTGTATTTTTATTGTTGTTGTTGTTCCTTTGTTTTGTTCGTGTTTTCCCAAGAGCACAAAACAGATAACAATATATTAAACCTCAGATGAACTGATAATCTGCAAAGGCCTGGTATTTCATCAGTGCTTCTAACCTGCCCTGAATCATGCAACATAGAAATAGACAAATCAATTTTAAAAAAATGCTGAACAAATGCCCAAATACTGCATTTTAAGTTTAAGGTAATGAAAGCAATCATCCTCTTCCTTCCATTCAATTCTCCTTCATAATTCCGGTCAATTGCTTTCATTCAAAAATCTACCATGAAAGATTCGATGGTCGATGAAAACAAAAATAAATAGTGATCGTGGTTTTTTTTTTTTTTTTAATTTCACTTCTTTATTTAAAACATGAATGTGATACATGACAGCCAAAGCTAAGATTATATGATGGGGGATAGCTGTCTGGCCATTTAACAGTTCTCTATTAGCATCGAACTATACTCCAGATAACTCCATAATCTTTCAATACAGACAGAGCTGTTGATGTCTATTCAAGTCTACTCAAGTAGTCAAACTGATTGCATTTGAAGATTTTATAGCTGTGATGGTGAACCTATGACACGCATAGCCCTCTCTGTGGGCACGCGAGCTGTTTTTTGCTACCAGTTCTCCGAACCACCTGCCACTATCGCTACCGGATCGGGAGCATTTCACCCTTGCTCTAATCCTGTATAGTTTTTGATAATCAGACAACATTGCCTAACTGAGATTTCAGATTGTACTAAGATTGTATTAACTTGACTATTGTTTTGAAAGATACAGAAATTCAGTATATATATAAAAAATCTGGTATACCTTTAGGAGCTGGTTTGCCTGTTCTAGATCAGCCTTGATGTTCTCAAATCATAGGATAGAATCTTCTGATTATGGAAATACAGGTAGTCCTCGATTTATGACCACAGTTGAGCGCAAATTTTCTGTTGTTAAGTGGGATTTGTTAAGTGAATAAGGAGCCTGGTGGTGCAGTGGACTAAACTACTGTTAAAGTAGTATTTAGCTGCCAGCTGCCTGCAATTACTGCGAGTTCAATTCTCACCAGGCTCAAGGTTGACTCAGCCTTCCATCCTTCCGAGGTAGGTAAAATGAGGACCCAGTTTGTGGGAGCAATAAGCTGACTTTGTATAAAATAGAACACCACTTGGGGGGGCCAAAAGCCCTATTAAGCAGGTATATACAAAAGTATGAAGACTATTGCTTAAAAGCATTGTAAGCCGCCCTGAGTCTCTGGAGAAGGGCGGCATATAAATCAAACTAATAAATAAATAAATAATAATAAATAAATTTTATCAATCTTTCTTGCCACCATTGATAAGGGAATCACTGCAGTTGATAAGTTAGTAACCCGGTTGTTAAATGAATCTGGCTTCTCCGTGAACTTTGCTTATCAGAAGGTTGTAAAAGAGGATCACATGACCCTAGGAGACAGCCAGGGTCATAAGTATGAACCAGTTGCCAAGCATCTGGATTTTGATCACATGATCATGGGGATGCAGCATAACTGTGAAAAATGATCATGTCACGTTTTTCAGTGTCATTGTAACTTTGAACAGCGACTGAATGAACTGTTGTAAATCAGGGACTACCTAGCTAAAACTACTTCTGTTGAGATTGGCTATAATGACAGAATCTTGCAAATCTGATTGTATTATATCTCCTTCCTTTTCTTATACTTTAGTGAAATAAGGAAATACTTCTCAGCTGTTTCTGAATATTAATTGATTGATTGATTGATTGATTGATGTGCTGTCCATCTCATCTAGAGCCAACTCTGAGCAGCTTACTGTCTGTTTTTGTTGTGAGTAAAAAATATGATTTTGATGGAGAGGATTTGTTCATTCGTTCATTCGTTCATTCGTTCGTTCGTTCATTCATTCATTCATTCATCAATTCATTCATTCACTCGATTTCTGTAGCCGCCCATCTCAAGCAAGTTGATTCGCTTTAGTTCACGTTCTGTTACTGAAGCGATGAGGAATAATGCATATCTTAAAGCACAATTACAAAGATAACATTTCTAAATGTCTCGGGAGTTAGTCAGCAGGTTTCACAATAATTATGAAGTGGTTATTGTAAAGATAAAAATCTCTGGAAATTAATTTGAAAGTCAATGTAACATATTCAATAGTATTAGCCCCACGCCAACACCCAAATATGCATTTCTCTTTAGAATCTGAAAGCGTCGGCATCAACCACCAGCCCTGATAATTAATCCTCGTAACTTTTGACATGGGTTGGGTGCAATTCAGACCATTAGCTGGAGGAGATTCACCATTCTAATGGGAGAATAGAATTTGGTCACTGGATTGACCTAGATTGAAATACCTAGATTGAATAGCCAAGAAACAGATTCTTACAGAGATAGAGATCTAGGAGAGGAATTTGGGAGTTTTTTTTAAAAAAAAGCATAGCAATTAAAGTATTGAAACGGGCAAGAGACGATGGCTAGATGATTCTTCTTTTCTGTTGTTGTTTTGATTTGCTGTTCCTTTTCTCTCTCTTTTTCTTTTCTTTTCTTTTTTTTTTTTTTTTTAGGTAGGTGACATGACTAGATGTTAGGTAGGATAGAAAGAAAATGTTTTTAGTAAAAGATGATATGATTAAAAGTTAGAATAAGTGATAAGTGATAAATAAGGGGGAATGTTAGTGTATTCATTTTTCTATAATAAAACAAAAGTAACAAGAGAAAACATGGAATAATTGAATAATGACAGATTGCAACTTATTATAATTGTGTATCATTATTAGAAATATACAAGTTGATTGAATCTAATAATTATGATGAATTTTACTAGTTTTATTTGTATTAGAATGTATGACGCCCAGGTGCCACATTAGTGGTAAAATCCAAATTGCCGGTTCTCCGAACTACTCAAAATTTCCACTACCAGTTCTCCAGAACCTGTCAGAACCTGCTGGATTTCATCCCTGTGCCACACTGTTCACGCATTGATTTGATGTTTGTAAAAAATAAAAAATAAATAAAAAACTTATTTAAAAAAAAGAATTTGGTCACTGGGGCTCACTCTGATGTTGAGGTCACCAGCAAGTATCGCATCGGAATCACGATATATTGCCGTGGCTCCAACCCTGGTAGTCCATCTTTTCCCAACAAATATTTGAACACTGACGACACATTCCAAAATGGCTGCTTTGATTTCATATGAAATCAAGATGCTAAAGTCACCTTGGATCTACCTCTATCCAGGTTTGGGCTGGCTTATACCTTATTTATTTATTTATTTTATTTATGTAATTTATATGCCGCCCTTCTCCCGAAGGACTCAGCGCGGCTTACAACAAAACAATTACATAAACATCAAAGTCAATTTAAAATTAGTTACAATTAATTAAAAATTTAATTAAAATTATTAAAAATCACCCCTATGGATTCAGCCCATTTGGTGAAAAAGCCACGTCTTCAATTTGCGGCGGAAGGAGAGGAGGTCAGGGGCTGTCCTGAGGCCGGTAGGTAGCCCATTCCAGAGGGTTGGCGCTCTCACAGAGAACGTTCTCCCCCTGGGGGCCACCAGCTGACATTGTCTGGCTGACGGCACCCTGAGGAGGCCCGCTCTGTGTGAGTGCACCAGACGATGGGAGGATGGCTGGAGATGATCCTGCCTCCTTATGCTGTTATGTTTCTTGAAAAGGACAGTGTCTAGGTGGCTCAGTGGCTAAGACACTGAGCTTGTCGATCAGAAAGGTCGGCAGTTCGGCAGTTCGAATCCCTAGTATAGGTCTCCTGTGTGAGCAGGGGGTTGGACTAGATGACCTCCAAGGTCCCTTCCAACTCTGTTACTGTTACTGTTACTGAGCCATTGATCAGACTCAGAAAAGTACATAGGGAAAGTTATTATATTTTTTTTTTGCCAACTTGTTCCAGCTGGTCTGCTGAAATGTCCACCTTATTTTATTTGACATGCTCTCCGAAACATGGATGTAGCCTGTAACTACCATGTGTGGTAGTTACAGGATGGCCATTAGGAAGCCAATGGTGTAAACTTTTAACTGTTGTGTAACCAATAGGTTATGGGTTTATATTCCTCACACAAGGGGCAGAATTAATCTGTGGCTAATGTCCCATTTTATCTATTTTTTTTCCATTTGTTTTCATTTTTAATGTTTACTTCACCTTACATTTTACTGAATTTATCTTTCTTATTATTAATTTGCAATGGATAACTTTGCGGTTTGACTTCAGCAGTGAAGAGTGGTTTATTATGCATATTATTTACTATGCATGTAGTAAAATATGTATAATAGAATACATTGTTTGCTAATTTATGAGTAATTATAATACATAATATTAATATATTGCCAAACATATTAATAATATGTTCTGTATTATTATATATTGTAATGATTCATTAATAATAAATTACAGGCATTAGTCTTCAGT